TTATAAAATAATGATATAAAATCAAGGGGGAATATAATATCATAAAATGTAACAGTTTTTCTTGTGTTTTTCTCGTTGAAGTGACAAAAAAATGATTATCACTTTATATCGTTGACAATGAATCTGGTATAAATAGACAGGAAGTGCTTTGCTGTACAGCAGTGTTGTGTTCAAGAGAGAATAGTAAAGTACATTTAATGTGGAGACTTATGTTTTTACAACAATAATCCACATTTTCCAGATATGAATTTGTAGTGAAATAGAGAAATTTTGTGTGCCGGCTATTTTAGTGTACATTTCTGTGATTTCATGACATGTCTGAACACAGTAATAACTGTGCTCCATGAGTGGTCAAAGTGAATAATGATTTCTGTGTTTTATGTGCAGAACACAGCCAGTCCATGGCTGCACCAGTCAGCAGTCAATGCTGGTGATGGTCTGGGTTTGTTGAACCACATTCCAGTCCGACCAGCCAGTGCTGACACTCACCGCTCCCCTGTTAAGATGAACATGAACACAAGCCCTCCAATGTCCAAGACCACCATAGATGTCAAGAAAGAGTAAGAAAAACCTAAATCTGTAACTACAGTCATGCTGACTTGGATCACATCAGTGTGTTTCATTGAAATTTAAGAAGTTAAATGTCAAATTTATAAAGCAGAAAACAGGCGATGTAATTTCCCAGACTGCTCAGTCAGTTAAATGAAATGGTACTAATCCAGTTTTTTAATGGTTCTGACTGAATGCTGTGTGCTCAGCTTGTATAACTGCTGCCTATTCTTTAGAGAGCTGAACAGTGCAAACACAGCAGAACAGCTCCAGAGTTGTCACTATGAAACAACAGTACATCTTCATTTTAATTATGTTTTTGCCTTATTCTACATCTTAGAAACAGTTTCAGGTCCAGTTCAATTTTCTCTTAAATTTCCAGAGTGCAGAGTTCACACTCAAACTTGAACCATTTTTAAACTTTGTCTTCACTTCCTCCCTGAAAAAGGGAAAATGGAGACTCTCTTTGATTTTAACCATGGATCAAATTTTAACCATGGATCAAATTTTACACACAAGGTTAAATTTCTAGTGTTTATTTTTGTCGCCTGATGATGAGATTCAGCAGATTTTGGGAGTCAAAAAACGTATTATTATGACCCCCGCACGCGAAGCGTAAGCGGGAGTCGTATTGTTTTCGTACTGTTCGTTTATTTATATATTTATTTATTTGTTTATTTATTTGTTCAGTGATTTTTGGTCAACTGTAGCACAAAAAAGCTGCACCAATCAACATAAAATGAGTCAGGACTGTAGATGAGTCTGACCTACACTGCACCAGCCAACGGTTTTATGATAGACCCCATATTTGAGGAGGGGGCTCCTTTCAAACAGGGGGTGTCAGGACATATGTAATGCTTATAACTCAGAAACTGTTCAACGTAGAAGCTTCAGATTTCTTTTGTTGTTTAGCTCTGATGAAGCTCTATCCATCAGGCCCACCAATCAGTGCCCCACCCACCCGGACCCCCAATTTATCTGAAAAAGTGGGGTCTGGACACACAAAAATGGTTGTAGCTCAAAAACTATTAAACATAGGAGCTTCAGATTTCTTTGGTTTTTTAGCTCTGATGAGGGGCTATCCATCAGGTCAACCAATGCCCCCCCACCCTCAAAAAAAGAAATAAGTCCCCCACCCAAACCACTACGATTTTGTGATGCACCTAGTAGCATGACATTTATTAGGAATAATGACTTCTGAGTTCCGGTGCATTTCTGCATGCGGGGGTCATTATGTAGTATCTAGTTTTATCCCATCATTGCTGAGTAAAATCTGTGTAGATTGCATAAATTAAAATTCCTTCCTAAATTACTGATGGGCTTTAAAACAATAGTTTAAAGTTCACATATTTTTGCATTGTTGCATTGGCATGTTTTAAATCTTCTTTAACATTTCTATTGTTACAACAAAGAATTATTTGTAAAACGTTTTAGTTGATGAAAATGTAATCAAAATCCACAGAGGGCACAATTTCTTTCAACATGTCTCTGTGCAGAACCTTGACACTGGCCCAGCTCGGACAGGATCAGATGGACCGGAGCCGCACCCCAACAGGAAAAGATGCCCACCTTCACCGCATGTACCTTGATCCACACAGCAAATCCCGCCTGACTAACACACAGGTACATGAGACCGGCTGACAACTTGCACACTTTCTAAACTGTGGGTAAAATAGTTTAGAAGTGAATAATTGAAATGGTTTTTGCATACCCAAAATAAATTAATTTTATTAAATAACTTCCAATAAACATTAATGAATGTATAGGAGAAACATGATGAATAATTATCTGTAAAATTCACTTCATCAGACTGGAGTACATTTTATCTGTGATTTAAATGAGTTTGAACAGTTGGTAGGAAAAGTAAACGTCAAGTAGCTGTAGTTAAAAAGTTGCTTATTCACCATGGTGGTGCATTCAAAAGCTGTTCAAAATTGATATAAGTTTGTCTAGTGTGTCCTCATCACACTTAGATAGTTCGTCCCTATATACACATAAATAAATAAAACATAACTTCATATTTTGAATAAATAAATAATTTCTCCTTGTGGGACATTAAAGGCTGTTCTTATTCTATTCTTCCATTTCACTCTTAACTTTCTTTAAACGAGGGGTACCAACAGGTTTGTCCATGTGTGTAAATGTTGTCACAGGTCATCACATCAGCTGTGCAGCAGCCATATTGTGATGTGGCCGACTTAAAACCATAAACTGAATGAGATTGTAGAAATAAATGTGCTGTTCAAAAATGGTATGTCTGAATAAAGCAGGAATCCACTGGATTTCTTAAAAGCTTTATTCTTGTCTTCAGACTACAGTGAGGTTCATACAGCCCAGCAGTCAGACCTCAGTGTAAGGCTTTGAGCTAAAACCCAAACAAAAGCAGCCCAGCAGAGTGAGTCTAACAGAGAGACTCTGCAAAACACTAACAACTTATTTTCTCTTTAATAATTCAACCTTTTAACCTCTTCAGTCTCTTCCTGGTTACACCCCTGGAGGTGTTACCTTTTACCTCTGAACGTAACCCATTTTTGTTTAGACCAAAGGAAGAACACATGATAAGACACACACCAACTCTGTGTCTGTTTTAACCTAATGTCTGCAATGATCAGAAAGTGTAAAAAATACAATACTGCATTAAACATTCAGTTGATCAATTACAAAATTTCATTCAAGATCTAAAATGGAGCATAAATCTACTCAAATACTGATTAAAAAATGTCAAGATCCATACTCCAGCTGATACTTGTGATTGGCTCCGGACATAAATAGTAATAGATGCTGCAAAAATTCCTGTCAGTGCACTTCATGTGACACAACTTCTTTCTCTATAAAAATTTATTTGCAAACCAATTTAACAAAGTGAAAACAAATTCAACATGCCCACAATAGACCAAAGAACTGTTGTTAATAGACCCATATGCTGTGTGTCTTTGTAATAGGCAAAAATGCAAATTGATCTTTGTATTCTGTTTATGTCTGGAGCATTTATCTTAATAAATAAAATCATAAATATCTTCAAGTATTTTTCATAGTTTTGGAACGTATCATTAAACAGCCCTAGTGCAAAATATTGAATTTTGGTCAACCCTGTCTTTACTGGCTTATAAAAGTTTTTTAAATTTATTTTTATTAGAAATGTTCTCAGTGTGTGGAAGAGAGAGCTTTGTGTTAAAAAGTCAACTCAAATTGCACGGCAAAGTGCTTAAAGTGCTTGAAAACTACAAAATGTATTGTTACTATTACATCTTAAAATATTTATACTTTTTGTTCCCCAGGAAGCACTTCAGATAGCAGATCGAGCCAATAAATACAAAGAAGATAACCATCAGATCCTGAAAGAGAGCATTGAAGTTGCACCTTTTACAGCTAAAATCCAGCGTTCAGCTGATCCCATCATGAACAGAGAGAGGCGCAAAGATCAAGCATTCCCTGTCCGGGTGCCACCTCTTGCTTCTCCAAGTCCACAGACTAGCCACACTCATCCTCATGTCATACAGGCAGAAAAAAGTGGCTATTTCACCACACTTTCCAACAGCATCGTGAATGAGCCGCCAAGACTGTACCCATCCAAGGAGGGATACAATCTCATTGGCTCAGTTGGAACCCCGGGGATTGGGAGTAGTGCTGGGGCTCAGTCATTGGTGAATTACGCCTCCAAAGCTTCCCTTTCCAAACCCCCGCCACTCATTAAGCACCAACCAGAGGGTGGAGAAGGTTTAGCAGTCAAAATCACTGAGCAGCTCAACCAGCAGGTTACATATGTCCAACCTCAACATCACACAAGTATGGACAGAAAAGAACGCCACAATCCTACCGTTTCCCCTCCTTCCGCCACATCTACCTCCCTATCTTCACTCTCCAACCACCATCATTACCCTCAACAACAACAACAACAACAGCAGCAGCAACACCAACTTAGGGCAATGCCATCTCTCTACCGAGCACCTGTTTACCATCCGCCCACACAGCTTGCACCGGATCGCAAAGAGCCTCGAGAAAGGGACAAACCTGCTTATGGAGGACGGCTGTCACCACCAACCCTCACACCCATCCAGCCAGTCACTTTAACAACATCTGGCACCAAAGCATCAGTTGAGCAGCAGAAGCCACCAACGTTGGTACCAGAACTCAGGGACATTAAAGGGCATGGAATTACTGCTGCAGTCATCTCCTTGGCCTCCAACAACAGTGGTGATATTATGGTAGATGGGTGGAAAAGCAGAGAGATGATTCAGGAAAGAGGAGGTGTGTGTTCTAGAGAAAAAGAGGGTTCCAAGGGTAAGCCCCAAGTAGCAATGGCATCGGTCATTGTACGACCAGCAACCTCTGTTAGGTATGATAATAATAGTATGAATAAATCTAATTCTATTATTCATAAGGAATTTCCCACAGGAAGGTTGTACCCGTCCAAGCTTTATGGGGAACTGCCAACGTTTAGAGACAGTGTTGGAGAACTTGGAGTCAGCAGGGTTATTCAAACGAACTCAAACCTGGATGACATATGTGTCCAGTACAAAAACCCTTCCATGCATAGTATGCAAGGCCCTGCTTATGCAAACACTACCACTTCTTTGTGCAGGTCTCCTGTTGTGGTCTCATCAGGTCTTGAACTGCAGAATGAAACCCCAAAGTCAGGACACCCAACTCGGGATGAGTTTGCTGCCCATAAAACTGGGGCTGGAAGCTGGGTGCTTAAACCAGATCAAGAAAACCACAAGGGTTTTGACCCAAGTTCTACATCACCAGGGTTGTCTTCACCTTTTACAACTTCAGCAGGAACACCTCTACCCAGTCATAATGTCATCCCAGCACCTAGCTCCATTTCTGCCTCTGGTCAACCTTATTCTTCTTTTGTTCATCCCAAAAAGCACAAAGCTGCTTTAGCTGCAGCCCAGTCTAGAGGCAGCCTCCCTACTCCTCCTGCTTCCTCAACAGCTGGAAACTCCTCCTTAGTTTTGGATTCAATGGACAAAACTCCCAGTCATAGTTCCACCCCTCCACCCTGTGTGAACCAAGCCACATCATCTTCAAGTGACAGCAGTAGCAACAGCTCTGCAGTCGGTAGCCCGACACCAGAAAAGACCAGCCCCTTACGAAATGGTCAGTCTTTGGCATCTGCTTCCATTAGCTGTGGGCAGCCCAGTAACTACCACAAGATGAAGAAGGCCTGGTTAACTCGACATTCAGAGGAGGACAGGAATACATCCACTACAGTTAGCACTTCTAACACTAAAGCAGAAAAACTGCTCACCACCACGACCAGCACATGTAACACTGCCGCCATGACCGATATGATCAAACCCTGCACGGTCAATCTTTGTGCCTCCACTTCAAATGAGGTGGAGATGAACAAAGACATTGGAGGCAAGGGGGACAAAGAGAGGCAGCTGGAGGAGAAGATAGCAGGGGGAGGTGGAGAGGAGAAGAAATCAGTTCCAGCTAGGCGGGGGAACAAGCGCTCCTATGACTCTGGTTCAGAAAGTGGAGGAGATGATACTGATACAAGTGAGAGCAAGATGGAGGGTCGAGCCAAACGGCAGCCTAAACCAACCTACAAGAAAAAACAGAATGATATGGCCAAGAAGAAGGGGGACAACGAGAAAGAGGAGGATGATGTGAAGCCCAACGGGATCTTTAGATCAGCCCGAGAGAAGACTAAAATCAAACTTGCCAGCAGTAGTAAGTCCTACCTCCTAATCTGTAATTTATTTTTAAAGTTTTGCTGTAAGATGTGGAGAAATTTTAGATCTTGGATGGTCTTATGGTGAAAAATCAGCCACACATTTATTTTAGTTTGTTTTTATTTATTTAATTCATTTTTGTGTGTTGTCAACAAACTTTACTGTCCCTGACAAATCCCTAAAAATCGATCAAAAGTATTTTAACGTTCAGAAATATTTTAAATGATCTCTTATTTATTAGATCATGAAATAGTGTATTCCTTTCATCTATGGTTTCTGGTACCTCTATCTACCCACTTCTGGTTTTTATATTTGTTCACTTGGTGGTGCTCTACTTTCACATTTGAGGGATCCTGTAATATCACTAGGCTGAAAACACACTGAGATAGCTTTAAAAAACAGACCAATGCGGACAAAAATATTAATAAATAGCCTTTTTCAGCAGTTATGTATATTTTTCTTTAAAGGAAATTATTATAAAGTTAAGACTTTTTCAGTGGTAAAACTATAATAGCACAATAACGCTGGTGATTTGTACTTACCGTATTTATTCAATTATAATACRTAAAATTAAATCCATAAAATCATCCATAAAGTTGGGGGGTAGTACTATACTCGGATAAATATTTTTACTTATGTATTTTAACTGAAATATCGGCTTCATTCACAAAATGCCTGAGTCCGGAAATGAGACCGTGTCGTAAAAAGCAGCTAAAGCCAGCTCACCTCTGACACTCCTCTGTGCTTCAGACTGAGATAATAACAGATCCATCAGGAGACATGATGTGAATAAAGGGTTAAAAATCAGTCCTGCAGCTCAGTAATGATAACAAACTAATGACATTAGTGTGTGACCGAGATGCTCCTGGAACAACAAACACATGTTCGTCTGTAATGGCTGCCGTCTACCGTGTTCTGAAAAAGTTTGTATTCCTGAAAAAACGTTTCCCCACCAGAGGGGGCGCTCGCGAGTAGGAAGTAATCTGCTTTTCCCCCACAAGATGGTCCAAATCTCATGTGAAGTCTCTGACTTTTGTGTTGGCGCCTCCTGGTGGACTATGTTTAAAATGCCAGAATTCATATGATGCTGCTACAGCTGATATATATTTGTTGTCAAAATACCTTTTAGTACGTATGTTGTTAAAATAAAATGAACAGTCCAATGATCATTTTACTGATATGAATAAAGACTGCAAAGGATGAAAAATCTTGAAGTCTGGATGAAATTGGAGGTAGTTTGAGGATTAAATTTTTTATGCTTTTCAAGCTCAAAAAAGTGGGGGGGGGGGTCGTATTATACATGAGATTGTACTATACACGAATAAATACAGTATGTCATTATTTACAGTGGTTTGCAAAAGTATTCATACCCCTTGAACTTTTCCATATTTTGTCACATTACAACCACAAACATAAATATATTTCACTGGAA